GAAACAATCCATCAAGTTAAAATTCAGAACCAGTTAACAGAATGTTTTAAGACAAATCAAGGATTAAAACAGGGAGATAGTTTGGCACCATCACTATTTAATTTGGTATTGGAATATATAGTGAGGAAATGTAATATAGACACAAGGAACACAGTAGCGTACAAACAAATGCAAATAATGGCGTATGTGGATGATATTATTATAGTACTGAGATCCCTAAGAGCAATGAAGGAGACATATAAAGAAAAAACCATAGCAAAAACAACTGGCTTAGAGGTGAATGTAAATAAAACTAAAATGCTAAAAGTGATTTACATATGTTTGGACCACCCAAAGAAGCAATGGGAGGAAAGACGTTCCATTCTGATGAAGAGGTACGCCATGCGGTGCATGAGTGGCTGCGCGGACTACCAAAAGAATTTTTTTCTAAAGGAATTCATGCATTTCGTAAGTGCTGGAGGACTTGCATTGAGCGTGGAGGAGATTATGTTGAAAAGTGATATAGCTTTGTACCACTTGTGCACAATAAATAATACTCAAAAAAATATTTAAGGTTTTCATTTGACTTGCCTACGTATTTAGGATCGAAATTCCACAAAGATGGAGAGGAAAATCATGAAATAACAAGATGAATAAAACTAGTGAATAATGCATATTTCTCATTACTATCAGTTTTTAGATCAAAGGATATACACTGAGCGATTAAAACAAAAATATATAAAACAATGATAAGACTGGTGCTTTATTATGGATGTGAGGGTTGGACGCTAAACAAGAGGAATCAGTCATCGGTTCATTTGAGAGGAAAACCCTAAGATGAATTTATGGACCAATAAGAGAATGGGATATGGAGAATAAGATATAATAAAGAGTTATAGAAATTATATAAGGAGCCAGAGATCTCAGTGACGATAAAGCTAAAAGATTGTAATGGGCTGGGCATGTACAGAGAATGGATAAGGAGTGCATCCCAAAGAAAATATTGTGACGTGCTGCACCAAGGTCAACACCCCCCACCCCCCGCCAGCGGTGACATAACACGGGACGCCGCAGTTGCTACGTAGCCGTAAAGAACTCCCAACAGCGATTGCTAAGCAAAGCGGGTAAACATTGGTTGCTAGAGACGACAGTAATAACAGCGGTACCTATTACGTAACAGGCAAACACTGCAACTATATATACAGCCGCCGAAGACAGTTGGAAGTTAGTGTGTGATCAGGAGTGACACAGTTGGAATCTAGCAGCAGTCGCGGAAAGAAGAACCAGACGCGTGTGATAATCAGTGATAGTTTGATAACTGAGAAGTAATTGGGAGTGTGTAACACAGTGACACTTATATAGCTCCCGTACTGTGAATACATGTAGACTACTGAACAGTGTGAAGGGATTATTGTGAATAGGGTTATAAAGTGTGAAACCCCGCAACAGTGTGAAGAGAGTACTGCGAATAGGGTGCAGTGCAGGATAGAGAGGAATGGAGGGGCTTGATAAGGTAGGCCAAGGCCCGACATCGGACTGTTGCGCCATAGAAGAAGAAGAAGACATAACAGTATTTATTAATATACTTCGGGAACTTTTGGATAGCACCACATATTTTTCTTTAGCTCACATTGGAAAGGGGTAATGTTATCAAATTTCATTATAAATTTCACACCTGTTCATCCCTTGCTACTGCGTGTGGTATGCTGTGCTGGTGATTGTTTGTACTGTCGGTCAGATGTAAAAGGTAAAGTTGTCCTTGCACTTAACTAATTAAGCACAGTGCCATGAAGGTGTATGGGGGAGTGGATGTATAGAGCTATATTTTCTTAACCTCAGCACTAGCTGGAGGTGAGTGGTCAGCTTCACGGCCCGGCCGCTTTACCCCCAGTGAAAGAGCCCCAGGTACGAATTGGATAGGAGGTTGGGTGGACCCCAGATCCTGTCTGGATGACGAGGAGAAGAGAAAATTCTTGATCCTACAGGAACTTCAACTCTGACCCCTCAGTTGTACAGCCCATACCCAGTTGTTAAACCGACTACATTGTCCTGGCTCCTGTCAGTCAGATGTATGGTGCTTAATACTTGGATAGGTGCATATGTTATCTTTCATGAATATTACAGTGAAGAGAATGTTTTCTTGTTTGTCTTTTGTTCTTCTATGTGCATATTTAGCTTCACATGTGCACACACACACAGATATGTGTATATATATATGTATATATATATTGTCACATGTTTAGAATCCATGGAAACACTAGAACAGACCGTTGCATAGGAAGTAACAATAGCAGCATTGTAATTCTAACAGTGAGCCGTTGCGTAGAGATGAGTCTCCATGGTTATACCTAGGGTTCATTGCATAGCAGCGGCCGAGGTTATAAAAATGGTTGAAGGCATTCGCCAAGTTAGTTGGAACCTAGACGCTATACGATATAGAAGAGGACAGCAAGAAGACAGTCTTCAGAAGGCCGCGGCCGAAAGCAGTCTAGTATTGGCCAAGATACAGTGGAAGCAGTAACTGTGATACTGCAAGTGATAATAATTGTAAAGCGTGTGAGAGTATAAGAGAAGCACAATAAAGAGTCACTAAAGCCGAGACCCACGTGAAGTTATTTGTCACATGACAATATGTATGTATATATGTATATATCCTAGCTGTACCCGGCCACGCATTGCTGTGGCAGATCGAGTGAATTCAAAAATTCTGTTTGACAATTAACCACTTCATCTGCTTCCACAACAGTGTCGACGGACTTGTATGTGACTGCCTTGCAGTGAATGTTAGACTGAATGATATTGTTAAGTTCGTAGACGTCTTTGTTCCTGGCCGTGAGAATAGCTCGTTCACTCAGCCAATTGTGATTCTTATAATTGGTTTGAATATTGGGAAATACTTTTTCAACCAATTCTTCTTTTGACTCACTAAATTGCATAAGTTATGAGGCAATGAAAATCGTCCTGAGGTCAGATCTACTGCACCTTTCCGTTCCCAATTTCCAGCAATTGATGCAAGAATATCTCAGTGATCGATCGTTTTGCAGCTGGACACGCATATTTGTAGTTAATTTTAACGCCTTTACGTGTCACCACAAAGTTGAGTATTTCAGGCAAGCATTTATTTCGTCTGCTGGTGTCGATGGAGGAATTACAGGTAATGTTTGCCTGAAATCTACTGTAAGCAATATTAATGCGTTCCCAAATGGTCTGATGTTTCCACGCAAATCTTGCAATGATCGATGAAGAGCCTCGAGCGATTTTTTGTGCGCCATTGTGCATTCATCCCAAACAATAAGTTTGCATTTCTGCAATACCCTTCCCATGCCTAATCCTTTGGAAATGTTGGAGTAGGGAGTTTCGATGAATTGCATGTTCAATGGCAATTTCAACGCGGAATGAGCAGTTCTTCCACCCGGTAGCAATGTCGCAGCTATTCCAGACGATGCAAGAGCTAAGGCTATGTCATTTTGGGATCGAATTGCTGCCCGAATCAATCTACTTAGGAACATTTTACCAGTTCCTCCTGGCGCATCTAAGAAGAAGAATTCTGCAACCCCGTTATTGACAGTTTGCATTATTTGATCGTAAATGCCTTTTTGCTCAAGCGTTATCTTAGGAATATTTGATTGCACATACGACAAAAGATCACCCGTGTTGTAATTTTGTTCACAACGCAATTCTACATTGAACGAAGCAGCAGCAGATCAATTCGGTGATGGCATTCCCAATTGATTGAGAATTTCGTTTGTGATTTCTAAGCACAAACCTTCAATCATTATCAACGCTTCGTTGCAGATTTCTGCTGTGAAATCCATGTTCATATTGGAATTTTCCTTGCGTATTCGACGGAAAATATCTTCAGCCATGTGCTGCTTTGTTGATTCCGCAATTCCTACGCAACGACCCATTGTTATTGTGTTGTCTCTGTGGGAACGCTCCGTGTATTCGTCGTAACCATGAAGATTCGATACAGTATCGCTACTGTTACTTCCTATGCAATGATCTGTTCTAGCGTTTCCATAGGTTTGACTCTTCTGAATTCCAAATTCCAATTCCGGTTTTCAAAAGACGCATGTTTTTTACCTGTCACAGGTGTGACATCTATATAATGGGTATATAAAAACACGGGCGTATTCGAATGCAACATTGTGTCAAAATTTCGAAGCAACCGGTGAAGAACTTTCGGAGATTTTCGAGGTGTAACAAACGAACATTTACATTTTTATTTATATAGATATATATAGCTAAATCTCAATCAGTATCACCCCAGGCACTGACCAAGCCCAGCACACCACAGACTGCAGCAAGAAATGGACAGGTATAAAATTTATAACAAAAGAAAAATAAATTAAACCATGTTATCTTTGCAGACAATGAAGCAGCAATATACCAACAAAATTATGTAGTCCAACAGCAATTTATGGGGTACGCAGCAGTGTAGGTGGTTCAAGTACTACGCTACAAGCCGGAAGGGCGCGGGTTCGATTCTTGATGAGGTCACTGGCTTTATCAATTACCTAATCATTCCAGCTGCAGTGCAGCCCTGGGCTCAAGTCAGTCTCCAACAGAAATGAGTACCAGGAATCTTCCTGCGGAGTTAAGGATGGCTTGTGCATAAGGCTGACAACCTCACTACCATCCATGAGCTGACTGTCTAGAAAATGTGAGAGCCCCAACATCTCACAATCCTACGGGCCTCCACAGCCTGTTACATGCCTTACCTTTTTTTTTATCCTCACTTCATACACAAGCAGGAAGTCCTTATACTCTCAATTATGTAGGGATTTAATGTAAATGTTACTGCTAGAAAATTAGTGTATACTAAGCAGTCTCATTTGATGATGGCCCTATAGGACTGAAACAGGTAAAGCACATTTTATAAAAAAAAATAAAGTCTCTAACAACTACATGCTGTGCTGGATGGCTTTCAGCACTCTATCAGTTTACCAATACTCCTGTTGCAAATATTTGTTTCAATGATGACATGAGCTGCTAATAAAATGAAATGATGTTTGACTCACTGCTGGTGATCGAGATGGCCGAAGTCCCATATCTGGAGGAGCCCACTATGAGAGTAGCTCCGCCCACTGATGTACGTGTCATCCATGTGACTGTGACAACTCACTGCAAGATACTGGTTCAAGTGTGCAGTATGGTGAATAGCTTTCTGCAGAGGAACTGGACACCAGGCAGTAGCCCAAACTGGACCACCAGCAAAAAACACTGGAGTCCCTGTAATAGAAATGCCTTTCTTCATCACTTAAACCTGTCAGAGAAAGCATGAAATCATCAAGGTATCTGTCCTCAGATGTACTACTAAACAGCACTGCTCAGTACACCCCATAAATCATCATTTTGAAATTTAAACAATATTTTTACTGAAGGAAGTATTTCTTTGAGTGCACATGTTTTAATGACATTCAGCATGCCACTGTCAGGTTTACAATTTCTGTTTCTTAAAGTTTCACACCAAAGCTATACTCATTTTCCTTTGTACTATTTGCTTACATTCACATAAGTTAAATAGGAGGTTCTACAACGTTATCTTCTTAATAACTTAGGACAATCCTGCTCAGAATTCCTTGTATGCAAATGCTGCATTAACACACACAGGGAAGCATGGCAAACTGCCTATTGTATGCATGAGCCAAGACATCTTGTTCTGTATGTTAACTGTGATGCACATAAATGAGAACTTCCTTATGGTTATGCAAATCATGTGCAATCACATCAAATTCATTTTGTTGTGTGTATGGAAAAATCTCCTGTGGCATGGGGACATTTTCTGGAACTGGTGGCAAAATGAGCAACTTGTAAGTAGCTGTGGTTTTTCCCACATATCTCTTGCACTGATTGCAACTGCAACTTTTCTTCTGAAGCTCTTCACAACAGGCAATCTGTAATGGTACTGTTAGTCCAGTCTCTGTGCCTCTGACTGTAGGAGGTTCTCCCACTCTAGATTTTAACGACAAATATCCATCGTGTGATGTCTTCTGAAATCCTCTTCTATCCAGCAGCTTGTCTGACTCTGTAATAAGTCATTTGGCTAGTGAAGAGACGTGTAAGGTGTTTAAGTTTGTACCTTATGTTTTTCAAGTTAAAAAGTGTTCAACTTTAATTTATGAACATAAATGAAATGCTTAGATTACCTATATTAATACTGCAGCTGAATACTTTTCTTCCAAATTCTTGCTCTCCCAGAGATTTCTGCTCCAAAATGTATACTTTTTATAATCCCATACAAGCTAACATTAAGTGCACCACAACGAATGTGACAATAACAGGAGAAGAATGAAAGTCAAATTCCAGCTTCTGTAGTTTCCTACAGTCCCTGCTTAGGTCATGTTATACAGACTTGCATAAATGTGGGATAACACTACACTAGCTTAAATGTCTGACATTACAGTGAAACCCTATTAATGTGTTTCTCAAAAACATGAATAAACCGAGCAGATTTAGCAGGAAAATCACTTAAAATGCAAGCCCTATAAGGCAATCTCAAATTAATAAATTTATATAAAAATTCCTCATCTAAATTGAGGTTCACTTTCATCATGCATTTCATAAAATATTAAAAAATATGGTCAATTTGTTTGTGTTTTTCCATCATCAGTTGTCCAAGTAAATTTATGAACGTTACGAAATGAGAACATTGTGCTTTTGATAGTAAGACTTTTGGATGTGGCAAAGTTTACTAACACCAATATCATTACTAATTTCGTGTAAACTCTCATCCCCAACTTTTGGTTTGAAAATGTCTTCCCTACATACTTTGGGACTGAAATCTCCTAAGAAAATTTTCATACGATATTTACAGAATTTATCGAATAAAAGCTCTAGTTCTTTGTAGAACCTGTCCTTTATATCATCAGTTTTATCTTTTGTTGGGGCATGAACATTCAGGATGATGATATCACACCAGCAGCCTCTTTTCTTATTATTATTATTATTATTGGAGGGGGTGAGTTTCCCCATGCACCGCGACCAGTGGTCTATTGTACGTCCCCCTGTGATATTCTACCAGTCTCTATACCCTACCGATACTGGTGCGCACCATCAGTCCCGACTCAGCCAGCGAGTTCGGCCTCTACTGGCTGAGCGGCATCTAGATGCTTCCCCCATCTACCAGAGGCATCAGAGACTATTGTTGGGTGGGAAATGTCCTGGTAATTTGGCTCAGAGACCTCCTTGAGGCATGAGGTTCTTTTACATGCTGTAAAGCTACGACACGGGATCCACGGCTTAAGTCCCTCCCGGACGACTTGTTCCCTGAATTTTTCCGCCCTTAAAAATTCCACGACCTCCGCCGGGTTTGAACCCGCGTACCTTGAGTCANGAGTCACAAGGTGGGAATGTTACCCCTAGACTACGAAGGCCACTAAGCAACCTCTTAGTATTATGTACGATATAGCATCCTATCATTAACAAACTCTCCCCTCTTAACAGCTGATATGATTCTCTTATGCATGAAAAACTTGTACCTAATTTATGGTTCTTATTCCCCTTTCCATAGAAAATGTATATTCGCCTGCTGGATTGGTGCCACCTCTGTCCCATCTGACCTCCTGTACTCCCACTAAATCTAACCTATATTTTGAGATTTCTTCTGACACTGCTCTGAGTGAATCTGCCTTATATATACTTCTAACATTCCAAGTACCAAATCTCATATCCCTTTTCTTTCGCTTAGGTCATTTAACCAAGGAATCTGTCCAGGTCCGAGGTTTCTTGTGATCTTTTGCAACTAGTTTATTTCTTATGGTGAGGAATTGTTAGCCCCATGCCCAAACCTCAAGCTGGAAGACCACCCCTTGTTGGCTGTCTGTAACTGCTTATTGAATATATTTGTAGCTACTCTCCATATCTGGAGGTCCTTCCAACATATGCAACCTGAGGACACACCATGACGTGGTGACAAGGGATCCACTCACGGCATTCGCATATACTTCAGGTCCCAATCGTTCAGGGCAGCTGATTGTGATACTGGCCACTATCTGGTGGTGGCAAAAGCAAGGCAGAGACTGGCAGTGAGTAAACACACAATGCAGAGAGTTCATATGGAGATTTGAACAATGTAAGACGTGAAACCAGCAGGCATTTCAAGAATAAAAAGAGGGAATATATGTGTGGGAACCCCCACATACTAACACGCAGCTTCGTCTGTCTAACAGACAGCATTCAACTTCTGCTCAAGCCAAGTCAATGTCACATTATGGCCAGCACTTATATTTATACAGCACTCGATGTCCAGCCCACCTGTAGATCATCACGTGCGCTAGCCAATCAGTGCTCACAATCGCAACTGCAACTTTAGCTCCGCCCAACAAGCATGGTATAAAAGGCGGAGCTCAAAACACGCTATCATCAGTTCTTTGATCGTCCTCACTACGACAAAGACAACTAAAGCAGCTACTCTGACATCATGAAGTAGCAACAGCTCTCCAGCAACCGCACCAAGACAACGGCTTTGTCATCTCCCACACCATAGGCAGCTGTTCTTAATGGCACAAGCAGCACCACATCACCAGCCAGCCAGACCAGCTGAATGGCCATGAAGAAGACCTGGTCTGCTACAAAGCAGCTAATGCTACTAGTGCAAGCACAGTCAAACAAACGGCCCTTTTCAGGGCCCGCAAGCATGTGAGCAGCTATTCTGTACATTCGAGAATAACATATATAATTGTTAGTTTTATGTGGTTCTCTTAGAACATCGACATCCCACATATGAAAGACAAAATTGATGAGCATGTAATGAACAGTAAGAGACCTGTATAGAGGAACAGATGACATTAAGAGGGGTTACCAACCTAGAAGTAACTTAGTGGAGGATGAGAATGGTGATCTGCTTGCAGATTCCCAAAACATTATGAATAGGAGGAAGAACTACTTCTCTGTTATTGAATGTACATAGGGTTAGTGATGTTAGGCAAACAGAAATACATACAGCTGAGCTGTTATTACCTGATCCTAGGCCTTTTGAGGTTGAAACTGTTATTGCAAAATTGAAAAAGTATAATTCGCCAGGTATTGATCAAATTCCGGCAGAACTTATTCAAGCATCAAGTGGTTCAAGAATTCAAGCATTCGGTTCTAAGATCCACAATCTAATTACTTCTATTTGGAATAAGGAAGAATTGCATGATCAGTGGAAGAAGTTTATTATTGTACCAGTTCAGAAGAAGGGTGATAAAACTGATTGTAGTAATTAATGTTGGATATCACTGCTATCAATGTCATACAAAATTTTATCCAATATTCTTCTCTCAAGGTTAAGTCCATACATAAATGAAATTATTGGGGATCATCAGTGTGGGTTTCGACATAAGAGATCAACTATTGATCAGATCTTTTGCATACATCAGATACTGGAGAAAAAATGGGAGTACAATGAGACAGCACATCAGGTACTCGTTGACTTCAAGAAAGCCTATGATTCAGTTAGGAGGAAAGTATTGTTCAATATTCTGATAGAGTTTGGGATACCCATGGAACTAGTTAGGTTGATTAAAATGTGCTTAAATGAAATGTATCGTAAAGTCCATACAGACAGATATTTGTCTGATAATTTCCTATCCAGAATGGTCTAAAACAAGGAGATTCTTAATCATAACTGCTTTTCACCTTTGCTTTAGAATATGCCATTAGGAATGTCCAGGAAAACCAGGTGGGACTGAAATTAAATGAGACACATCAGCTGTTGGTCTGTGCCAATGTGACTCTACTGGGTGATAATATAGAAAATATTAAAAGAAACCCACAAACTTTAATTGGCGCTAGTAAGGAGGTTGGTCTATAAGTACACAGAGAAAACTAAGTATATCTTGCTGTCTCATCACCAGAATGCAGGGCAAAATCATGACATAAAGATAGGTAACAGATGATTTGAAAATGTGGCACACTTCATATATTTGGGAATGACTATAAGAAATCAAAGCCTGATTCAGGAGGAAATTAAGAGGAGACTGAACTTGGGTAATGCTTGCTTCCATTCAGCCCAAAACCTTTTGTCTTCTCCTCTGTTCTCCAAAAACATAAAAATTAGAATATACAAAACTATAATTTTGTCTGTTGCTTTGTATGGGTGTGAAACTTTGTCTCTGCCATTAAGAGAGGAACATAGACTGAGGGTGATTGAGAACAGGGTGTTGAGGAGAATATTTGGACCAAAGAGAGATGAAGTGACAGGAGGTTGGAGAAAACTGCATGATGAGGAGCTTCATAACTCATATTCTTCTTCAAGTATAATTATAATAATCAAATCAAGAAGGATGAGGTGGGCTTGGCATGTAGCACAAATTGGGGAGAAGAGGAATGCATATGGGAAAGACACATGGAAAGAGACAACTGGAGTGACCGAGGCGTAGGTGAGTGGACAATATTAAATTGGATCTTAGAGAGAAAGGATGGGGTGGTATCGATTGGATTGATCTGGCTCAGAATAGGGACCAGTGGAGGGCTCTTGTGAACAAGATAATGAACCTTTGGGCTCCATAAAATGGTGGAAAGTTCTTGAGTGACTGCACAATTGGCGGCTTCTCAAGAAGGGCTCAGCTCCATGAGTGACTGAGTGATTACATAAAAATATTGTCAAGTGTTAGTGACTAGACATGGGGTTTGGATTGATCAGTGGATTTATAGAACATTTGTAACTACAAAGTATCATGCCACTCTCACTAATCTACAGACTTTCAAAAGCACTAGAGCAGATGCCAATATTCAGACTGTTACAGTATGCACTGTTGATATGCAGTGGCTCCCAACAATGGACATTCCTCTACTTCATGCAGACATCCTTAGCAGCTGGCATCTACCTCATAGCTGACTCTCACTCTCAACTACAACTGATTGGCTTGTCCTGTATGTCTTTGTTACATAGCTTTGGTACAAACTGCAAAGAAAACATTGCTTCCAAGAATTCTCCCATTGTTGCGTGACGTGTTAAGCGGCCATTTCCCTGTGATGGCCTGGGTATTGTTGAGGCAGAAGTATATTCACTGGTTGCCACGGAAACATCTTTACCACCTGCTGCCTAGCAATGGCTGTCTCTACTCATTCCAGTATTCCAGCCTTTAGTCATCATGTCCCATTGCTCCCTCATTAAGGCTGATTGTCTCAAGGGGCCTACAGGCTTACTGCCATTTCTTCTTTTCTGAGAGGAGGAGCTCATGATGTCTGTCATTGTCCTTGCAAATGGCAATTCAACATTGTGCTAAGGTCACAATATTGATAATTGCATCATAGTTGACTTGGTGTCCAAGTGCAGATAATGCATAACATTATTACACACAAATACATTCTTCTAACCATGTGTATAAACATTGGTCAAGAACTGTATGTCTGTCTGATGGGAATGCTGCTTATTCCACTGCCTATTTTAAAGTCAAATACAGGCCTCATGAGAATGTGTACACACATGTACAGCTCCAGTACCACAGCATACATACGAGTATATCCCACCATGACCACCAAGATAGAGCAATTCTACCACTCTCTCCTGTCTCAAACCACTGTCTAACAAACTCTCCTCTCTCAACACACTGCCCCTGTCTCAATGCGCAGCCTTGCAAATTTTCTCCCAAGAACGTTCCATTTAATTTTAACATTTCTTTCCTGTCAGAACACAATTCTCACTTATCACTGAAGTCCAACATACTCCATCAGATTTGAGGTTCTCGCGGCAATAATTGTGAAGTTATGCAGTCTGGTGGGCACTAGACTACACGATATCACACCCCAGAAGACAGCAGTCTTGATATACTGTAGTTGTGAACTAAAGGATCAATGTAGGTAAATCTGCTACTGTCAGTCCTTCGCAATCTGCATGTTAAATAAAGCTAACAGAGAGTATTACATGGGTACAATATAAATTTGGAGTTTGTTATGTCCGTTTTGGCAGGAAAACCTTATAGGTGGGAAACATGTCAAGAAGCTAACATTTAAATAAATCATGTTAGGATAAATTTGGGAGCAAAGAATTTTATAATTCAAGGCAAACTAATGTCTTAAGCAGCGTTGTCTTACAAAAGTTGTACTATATTTAGCTACCTTACCCTCAATGACCTGAGCTTCAAAGAGCTTGAGGCGATGCCACTGTTTGACTGCTTTCTGCGGCCACGCCAGCACCCTGTGTTTCATGGAGAGATGGGACACCTGAACTGACTCTTTAGTTCTAGGCAGGTAAGGTGCAGCAGCTGCAGCAGTCAGAGGTATCCAGTCATCAGGTGTAGAATGAATGTTGGGGTACAATGACTGCATGTAGTTCTCTAGGTGACTGAAAACAAGCATCACTGCACTGTAAGTGGCATCTACTATCAGCACCAAGTTTTAAAAGCACTTGCCAACAAAAAGGTGTACTGTAAGGTTCCAAAAAGGATGAACCCCACACCTTTTAACTAAAAGAACTTGCCATGGGCAAGGTTTATTGTAGCAGATGTGTGAGGGCTTTATTCAAATTACTTTCCTTCACTGACAATGACAAGATAGATTCATACCATAGACTGCCAAACTCCTGTTTTAACACCCCCAAGGGGTTGTTGTTGTTGTTGTTGTTGTTGTTGTTGTTGTTGCTGCTTCTGCTGCTGTGGCTGTATGGCATTGAAATAAGTGATTTCAGGGACTGTTCTTGCCAAATCAAGATATATCTGTAGAGGAATCTATGGAAGGGCCATTTATGATCTGAACAAGTACAGGCAGGACATTCAATGAAAGATGAATCCTGGCAGCAGTGTAGAGCAGACACAACATTTCTCACAGATTGTTGCTGTTAACTTTGGACAGTATAATGAGTCATTAGCGCTGATAAACACGCACCATCCGATGGTCTGATCTTGTCAATGCAGTAAGTCACATTAATAGTAGGTCTCTGTTAGAGGTGTTGATAGGCGGTCGACATTTATACCGAAATGAAGTTCACTATTGAAGAGCATGTGTTTATTGCCAAAACTTTTGCAAGGAAAAAACTTACAGAAAATTTAGCAGTAAGTTTTGTAGCAAATATCCTGGCTTGCCAATTCCCATAAAATCGTGTGTATCCACGATTGTGAAAGAGTGGCAGGCTACAGGTTCAGTGTGTGACATAAAGAAGCAATCGAAGAGGACTGTACCGACTGAAGAAAGGGTTCAGGATATTGAGGCATGACTATAGATCAGTCCTCAAAAATTGTTAAGGTGCTTAGCACAGGAAACCAGTGCGTCACTAGGATCTGCTTTCATGGCCACAAAATTAATCAAATTATTGTTTTTCATTGCGTGCATCCTGTTGTGTTTATATCAATTTTTTATTGGGATCCGTTGTAACACAAGAACGAAACGGTCTGGGTCAACATTACCTTAGCTGCATGTTTTGGCTTTCAAAGCCGTCATGAGGCAAATACATGGTTACTGCACTCGCACACTATTGAACTGCATTTCAATGTGACAAGAGAGCTGTCAAGTATCAAGCTCTATAGTAACACTGAAGTGCAGTTCAACAGTGTGTGAGTGCAGTAACAACATATTTGCCTGATGATGGCTTTAAAAGCCAAAACATGCAGCTAAGGTGATGCTAACCTAGACTGTTTCATTATGTTATGACGGATCCCAATAAAGAATTAATCAAATTACGTGTGTTATTTCATTCTGCAGAGCTTCAGTGGTGCGAGGATTAATCTTGTAGACTTTTCCTTTTAGGTTTCACCAAATATAAAAATCACAAAAACTGAGATCAGGGGATCTGGGAGGCCACAGTTTTCTGCTAATTATTCTGTCTTCAAAGGCTTCGTCTATTGCGACCATGGGTGCATCAGCCGTATGTGCTGTAGCTTTGTCTTGCTGAAAATACCAATTTTGTCTTTCTTCAATAGTCAGCTGATTGAAGAACTGATTCAGTATATCATTAATGCAGCAGTCAGAGTTCACGGTTTCATGAAAAAAGGGGGGGGGCAATGATTTGCTGTGGACTTACAGAACACCACACCCCCACCTTTTCACTATGTAATGGCACTTACTGTATGGCATGAGGATTTTCAGTGCTCCATATTCTTACACTTTGTGCACTGACATGGCCACGAACATGAAACCACGCTTCATCAATCATGAACAGAAGCTGTGGAACCACAATTCCATTGTGCACATTTTGCAGCAGCCAGTTGCAAAAACAAATTCTTGCTGCATAATCTGGTCCTCTCAGCTCATGTACAACTGTTATTTTATACAGGCAAAATTGATTAATTTTGTGGTTGTGAAAACAGATCCTAGTGAAACACCAGTTTCCTTAATGATTTTCAAGGACTGATCTCTAGTTGTCCCTCAGTATCCCTAACCTTTTCTTTAGTCAGCACAATCCTCTTTGATTGCTTCTTTATGTCACACATTGAAACTGTGGCCTGCCACTTTTCCACAAGCTTGGGTACACACGACTTTGTGGGAACTGGTGAGTCAGGATATTTACAACGAAACTTATGGATACATTTTCTGTTAAGTTTTTTGCCTTGCAAATGTTTTGACAATAAACACATGCTGTTCAATAGTGAACTTCATTTCAGTATCAATGGTGACCACCTATTGACACCTCTAACAATGACTGACTACTAATGTGACTTACTGCAATGATAAGATCAGACCACCTGACGGGGCATGTTTATCAGGGCTAATGACTCATTCTGCTATTGGCAGTTACAGCAGCAATCTGTGAGAAATGTTGTGTCTGCTCTATGCTGTGACAAGGTTTTCTCTATCACTGAATGCCCTGTATCTTACACTGAAGTCTTCAAAGTTTAATGATGCATCAGTAGGCTATTTATGGCACCATTCTGTTCATATGGGCAACTGAAACGTCAGCCCACTCTTATCACGGCTGCCATAAACAAAACAACTGCCATGTTTTGAAGTTAGTGGAGCTCTTACTCGAGCATGGCTGAACTGTGTATTTCTACAGCTCATCTGCTATGGCAGAGAAACTACAGAAGTTGTTCACAAACCAGTTTGTGATGGTACTTTGAAACTGATCAGAAAAAATGTTCTGAAAGCTGGAAAACAAGTTAAAAAATGGTGAAATTACATCACAGCACTGGTGATCTGTAATGGTAACAGCATTATAAAAAATGTGATCATGACAGCATGTACCACACAGATGAAACAAAAAAATGTAATATGCAAAGGAAGGGAGAAAATCAAGCTTTTGTGTGCACTGGATAATAACACATGGGAGGGGTTAATGTAAAAGATCAGTTCCTGGTGACTTATCTGACTGAGTGGAAATGCATGGATGAAGTGGTACATAAAGATGTTTTGCAGGCTGACCAACACTGCAGTACTAAATGCTATGATTGTATTACACAGCTATAATATAGGGAATCAGGAGGCCTGTGACTCTTTAGAGTGAAGCTGGTAGAATGGTTACCCTGGTTTAGTGACGCCATTGCATGGAGTGTCCTTAGACCAGTGGTTCTCAACCTTTATGAGACCGCGGCCCAGTAAGTTTATTTTTATAAGACGAGGGCCTAGTCCCAACAAATTTACTCATAAATACCTTTCCAGTTTTGTTAAAATTCCTGCATTAAGCTAACATAACATTTGTAATTAATTATAGCATAATCATAACGGGTATTAGTACACTTATGTATACGGTGTGGCATGCTGACAAACATAAAATTACATTTAAATTAGTTATCAATTACTGGACTAATGAAATCTTGTAGCACTTTGTAGTCTCCTCAGACAAACATCATTAAATTAATTTGTGCTAATTATCATTGACCTATCCCACGCTGATCACCAAAAACTTATGTTATTCAGCATAAAATTGATTATTGTATTATTAAATTGATTTTAATGATGTTGGTTTGAGAAAAACGGCAGTGAGAAAAATATTTATGCATTGTAACTCACCATAGAAGTCAGATGAGTAGGGGAAGAAGCAGAAGGATGTCAACTTGCCAGTGAAACACTTATTATCACATACACACGCCAAATAATTATATATGTAATGTATGTAATTTGATAAATAAAAATGTATGAATCTCTCAATTCTAAACACTACTTACAACACTAATTAATATTTTGGTTTTAAAGATGCAGCACTTTAACACAGCAATTATAAGTTATTGGAAAGTTAAACTTAGTTTCTTTTATCACAACTGAGGTTGGAAGGTTTTAGTTAGGCTAGTGAGACTTCTGTTTGTGTTTTCTGTCCGTTAGCTTATTAATTCTGGGATGAATTGAACTGAGAGCCAAACGGAGACAGTTAGAAAGTTGCAGGCAGTTCCTCTGTTNCTGCATTAAGCTAACATAACATTTGTAATTAATTATAGCATAATCATAACGGGTATTAGTACACTTATGTATACGGTGTGGCATGCTGACAAACATAAAATTACATTTAAATTAGTTATCAATTACTGGACTAATGAAATCTTGTAGCACTTTGTAGTCTCCTCAGACAAACATCATTAAATTAATTTGTGCTAATTATCATTGACCTATCCCACGCTGATCACCAAAAACTTATGTTATTCAGCATAAAATTGATTATTGTATTATTAAATTGATTTTAATGATGTTGGTTTGAGAAAAACGGCAGTGAGAAAAATATTTATGCATTGTAACTCACCATAGAAGTCAGATGAGTAGGGGAAGAAGCAGAAGGATGTCAACTTGCCAGTGAAACACTTATTATCACATACACACGCCAAATAATTATATATGTAATGTATGTAATTTGATAAATAAAAATGTATGAATCTCTCAATTCTAAACACTACTTACAACACTAATTAATATTTTGGTTTTAAAGATGCAGCACTTTAACACAGCAATTATAAGTTATTGGAAAGTTAAACTTAGTTTCTTTTATCACAACTGAGGTTGGAAGGTTTTAGTTAGGCTAGTGAGACTTCTGTTTGTGTTTTCTGTCCGTTAGCTTATTAATTCTGGGATGAATTGAACTGAGAGCCAAACGGAGACAGTTAGAAAGTTGCAGGCAGTTCCTCTGTTTCGTTTTAAGCACAGACATGGCAGAAAATCCAGTTTCACAAAGATGTGTGGTAACAAAGAAGAAACCTCACTGCTATTTCATGTAAATTTGGATATTCATTTTCCATTCTTATCCAGAACTTCGAACTACTCGTAGTATTAAAAGTACTTTCCAGTCCTTTGTCCGATGATAATTCAATAAGTTGAAGGGTTTCTTCATGGGAAAGGGCTGTCTCTTTGTGTTCAACAAAAGGGGTTCACAATCCACATATTTTGCCTCTGGGGATCCTCATGTTCAGGATAATATTTTTCAAACGACAAGAACAACATCTTCAAGTGGGCTGCAATAATATCTGAAACTGAATCTGTGAATATAAATCATCTGCTTCCATAATACAATCTGAGTATGACTGAAACATTTCTACACNACAACACTAATTAATATTTTGGTTTTAAAGATGCAGCACTTTAACACAGCAATTATAAGTTATTGGAAAGTTAAACTTAGTTTCTTTTATCACAACTGAGGTTGGAAGGTTTTAGTTAGGCTAGTGAGACTTCTGTTTGTGTTTTCTGTCCGTTAGCTTATTAATTCTGGGATGAATTGAACTGAGAGCCAAACGGAGACAGTTAGAAAGTTGCAGGCAGTTCCTCTGTTTCGTTTTAAGCACAGACATGGCAGAAAATCCAGTTTCACAAAGATGTGTGGTAACAAAGAAGAAACCTCACTGCTATTTCATGTAAATTTGGATATTCATTTTCCATTCTTATCCAGAACTTCGAACTACTCGTAGTATTAAAAGTACTTTCCAGTCCTTTGTCCGATGATAATTCAATAAGTTGAAGGGTTTCTTCATGGGAAAGGGCTGTCTCTTTGTGTTCAACAAAAGGGTTCACAATCCACATATTTTGCCTCTGGGGATCCTCATGTTCAGGATAATATTTTTCAAACAACAAGAACAACATCTTCAAGTGGGCTGCAATAATATCTGAAACTGAATCTGTGAATATAAATCATCTGCTTCCATAATACAATCTGAGTATGACTGAAACATTTCTACACTACTTGTTGCATCACAAACCCCTTCAATTCGAGATTTCTTAACACCAAAATTAAACAAAGTCCCCTCTCTCTTATTCATATTAAAATTTAAATCACTCGGGTTCTGAAACAAGCACTTACGTACACACTGCAATGCTTCTACTGAACAGTATTCAGCATTACTTGATTTGAGAACTGGATACAGACTGCTTTGATCTTCAATTTCAGTGGAAACATTTTCTTTATACTTCCTTGCTGGTAGGTCACTTACATTTGCAACACAGATGTTATTTTGCTCAGTTCTGAGAACAGAGGATATGCCGCCCATTGTTGTAATCGGCTTGCAGGCAATTTTTATGACTGGTCATAAACATCAGTATTGCCTTTCCCGAACGTTGAAAGATTTGGATGTCTGAAAATTCCTGATCATTCATGAATACTTCCATGTTTAAAAATATGCAGCTTGGTCACTGATATTTGCTACACAGATTTAGGTGTTCTCCGTGTCTGAGCTTCTCAACACAAATATTATTCTCCTCAGAATATGTCTACTGTAAAATATTTATTCATGAAAAATGCTCAGAAAATGAAATATTCCAGAAGAGCCTCTCGCAGCCCAGTTTAACTGATGTCAGGGCCCACTACTGGGCCACGGCCCGGCGGTTGAGAAGCACTGCCTTACACTGAAGTTGGAGGAGAAGCCTTTCTGCTATAGAGGATGGCTGTGAATTTACTAAATGACAAGGGGTGGTCCTTCAACATGGGAGTTGGCCATGGTGCTGACATTTCCTCACTGTAAACTAAAAAGTTCTGGGAAGAACTAATTGCCTAATTAGTTATTTATTTAATTCAGCTGGTGAAAGGTCTGTTTGTTCAGTGTCAAGTCAGCCTTTGTCAGACAATATAATGCTGCAGCTTATTGAAAGCTTGAACCTCCTACCAACAGAGAGGAAATAAAATCCACAAAGACGAGACAAGGGTATAAAACAGAAACATGATGACCAAAGTGTACTGGTGTGAAAAGTATGAAAATTGAATATGTTTTGACTGTCTGAAGACTACCACACTAAACTGAACACCTACATGGTGATCATTACAGTGCAGATTTATGTGTGTTCAGAAAAATCCACTTCAAAGGTAATGAAATTCAATTCCATACACATTTGCTGCATAGGTATCTAAACAATTTTAGAGATTTGAAGCAAATCCAAGAAATGTTTTCAATAAATTAGACGCTTACAGTTCTAAATATCCTTCGTCCACAGATAATGAGTCTATGTCTGTCACTGCAGGATTTAGCATTTACACAATGTGGAGATGAATCTCTTACATGCAACTGAGAAAAGAAAAACAGTTTAATTCATTTCTGAAAATGGCTGTTATTTGGACATGTAAGGAAAATGGATGACAGAAGGTTATGAAAAATAGCACTGGAATGACAAATGGATCAGTGTAAGAATCAAGCAGCAGATGACTGAAGAGTGATGTGATACAATGTAATGCAGTAGAAGGGCACTGTCTTCTAGTATGTAACACCATGTAGTTCAGCAAAAGTCAAACAGTGTTTGGGAGGAACTTAAATCTTCAGGGCTGAAGAGTAAGCCAAGCAAGAAACCAGCATGAAGGAGGCAGGAAGCAGATTCATTTATTAGGGAAAACCTGAGGCTAAACAGAAAAGAGCAAGGAACTGCAAGACAACTCATCAGGTCCCATCGGACTACACGGCATTATATCCCAGCAAGCATTATGCTTGCTGCTTCCTTTGCTTACTCTTCAATACTGAAGATGGAGGCAATAGATTCCTCTGATATGATGGTATACTTCTACCAGACTATATGGTGTCATATCCCAGAAGACAACACTCCTCACTGTCATCCTAATGAGAACTGCCAATTTAACCCTGAAGAGAAATGTTTATGGGGAGGCCACACACAGAACTGTGGATATAAAAGCACAATCTACAGCAAATATATTGTGGCCATTGCTAGTGAACAGCTCTGAAACAATAGTTAACAACATTGTTTCTAGGCAATGGCTCGGTAAACACATTTCCATGGCAATGGAGACGCATGCAACAACAGAGGTACTGCTGGAAATGGGGTTTTCTGTGCTGGTCTGTGGCAAAGAGTTATAAGAAAGACAACTAGGGCAACCAAGTCAGTTCTGAATGTGAATATGTGGAGAAAAGAACACACAGTTGGAAGGGAGCCACTGTTAAGAGGGGACCTGAGCCTGGAAGCAGAGGACTAGCCATTGTTAGAAGCTGTTACCAGAAAACTACTAGTGAAGATACTGTTGGTTGGAAAAGACTTGTGAAGTGTGGAACTCAATGATGGCACTGTAATTACTTGTGGTTCAAAGTTGTAAGTATAAGTGGTCAATAAATCCAGGATCCAATCCAAAACCCATGCAGAGAGACTCTACATACTACATGACAATTACTTACAAAGTCAATGTCCACTTCACTGCTGGTACATATGGCTTGTCACCAGATACAGGACAACTTGGCTCTCTGGATAAGAACATCATCTTGTTGGCTGTCTCTGACAAGTAACAAAACTACTGTTAAGTTAGATTTTGTTCTTTCTTGTAAGCTTCTAATTGAAGGGATGAATAGGACTAAGTGGACATACATAGGGTGGCTATAAAATAGCTGGACTTATGCTATAAAATCTGTTATTCATCTAATCACATAATGGAAATATTATCAACTTCAAAGTGGTCCGCTCCCCGACCCCTACACTGCTCCATGTGAATTTTCCACAGTTGGAAGCAATGCTGGAGGTCGTTTTCAGATAGCTTCTTCATTACCTCCGTTGCTTCTGCCTTCACTGCATCTACAGACTCCAAACAGGTTCCTTTTAATGCAGACTTGATCTTTGATACTAAAAAAAAATTACACAGAGCTAGGTCTGGTGAGTACAGTGGATGTTCCAACACGGGGATCTTGTGCTTCGGAAGAATCCATGAGCCTATTTCCTCAATTCAGGTCTTTATCTTTTCACTCATTCACAATAAGCTGTCAAAACCTCCTATAGTAGACCTGGTTACCTGTCTGACCTTCAGGCACCTAATCAACGTGAACATTCCTTCGGGTATCAAAAAAAGATGATCATCATTGCTTTGGAATTGGACTTGTTCTTCCATGCTTTTCTTTTCTTGGTGACCTCTTTCAATGCATTGATTGGCACTTAGTTTCTGTGTCATACTGAAAAAATCATGATTCATCACAAGTGATTACATTTCCTAAAAAGTATGGATCATTTTCAACGCTTCGAAGGATGTCAGCGCAAATGTTCATTAGAGTTTCCTTTCACTCAGGAGTGATGTTCTCAGCACCATCTTCAAGCACACGATTTTCATGTTAAAATGTTCAGGTAAAATCTGGTGAACACTTTCTTTATCAATTTTAGATAATTCAGCAACTGCTTGAATGCTCAGGCAATGATTCTTTCGAACAATTTCAATGACTCTTTCAATGTTAGCATTTGTGTTTTATGTGCAAGGCCAACCAGGATGCAGATCATCTTCGATTTCTCCCCTCCCCGCTTTAAATCTTTTGAACCATTCAAAAAGATAGGCACTCATCACCATAAACTTCAATCAACAAACTGTACATTTCTGTAGTGGATTTTCCAAGTTTTGCGAGGAATTTAACATTGACATGTTGCTCTACTTTAACGCTTAACATAATGTGACGTGGATGGTGCAACAGGAAGTAGGGGTCACGTGAACTCTGTGGTCTGCGAGTGACGCCACATACCCCCACCCCTTCCATTAACACGCAACACTCGGTAAACACCTCCTCCCCCGCGGTGACGTGGCAGAAGAGCGACTGTGTTGTTACCAAGGGATACTGTGGTTGCTATGCAGCAATAAACAGCTCTCGACAGCTCTCTTGACACGGCGTCAAGAAACAGTGGTACATATCACGTAACTGTTTTCTGTGTTGTCTGTGCCAAGGCTAAATAATGAGCAGCGAACACTATTCAGTAGTTAGAGTAGTGAGTATTGAACCAAGTACTAGAGAAAGAGTAACCAGTTAATTGCAGTCTAGTATTTGTGATACTGCTGATGGCAGTAATTGTGAGATTGTAAGAGCGAGTGGAATAAATTCGCTATATCCAATATGGCGTGAAGTTATTTGTCGTGTTATACACCCAACACGTGACAATAATTCTGATGGAGGTCAAATACATGGTCCACTTCATACAAAGGCTGATACTGCACTGTTGGCCATATGGCCTTGGAAGTGTTACGGTTGATGGAGGGGAGAGGACAAGTTAATGTGCCACCTTGCTCCCTGTTGCGAAGGCCACAGGGAGTTGGCAAAAAAAGCAGTCCGGTTATTCTATAGCTCCTCGTAGTGTACTCAGGAGAAGCACTTGCAGGAGGGTAGAGATCAACTAAAAATCTTTTTAGTAATATCATACTGTCGTGTGTTGGGTGTATAACGCGACAAATAACTTCACGCCGTATTGAATATAGCGAATTTTATTTCACATTCACTCTTACAATCACACAATTTCCAGATTCACAATTACTGCCATCGGCAGTATCACAAATGCTACACTGCAAATGCTGGTAACTCGTAAATGCTGCCTTGAGAACTAACTCGTAGGCTTGCTCGGAACTCACTTGGAACTAACTGTGAATTGTCTTCGCTGCTCCGTATCTAGCCTCATTCCGGACAACACAGAAAACAGCCACGTAATAGGCACCACTGTTGTCTGCCGCTGTCATGCTAGCAACGCTGTGTACTGCTGTTATTACCGTCGT